CTTTTCTTTGCAACTCCCCACTCCAACCCCTTCAGTATGTTCTCTTTGGCTGTATCTGTATTATCATTTCTAGATGTTGTGTCTATTGTCTTCATCACTCCTCTTGGCTCCTGACTCTTTCTACAGCTACTTCTGGGCTTCTTCGTACTTCTGTCTCTCAGCCACACACCAGATCTTAGGGTACGTAGACCTAAGATCGAATAACTAGCCTTCTCGGTTAAGGGCGAAAAAATATCGGAGGTCCCTTGAGCAAGTTGCACATGTTAAAGTAAGATCCCTTCATCACCATCGCCTTTCTCACCCTGGAGCAGGATATAGGCCACGAACAAACACTTTCCACCTTTCCCTATCCTGGGCTATTCACTTGATGTCACTCCATGTCTTCCCTCTTTTCTGTACATCCATTTCCGTGATTCTTCTCCAGGTTCCACATCGTCTTCCCTTGGTTGTTCTAAAATCGATAAAAGTAGGCTTTCGCAGCCACACAGGCAAAATTCAAAAATAATTACTACTACCAAGCTGAAAAAGTTTAATGTGTCCCACGCGCTAATATGAACGTATGCAGTTGCGAGCGCCATAAATTACTAACCAATACAAAAACAAAATTAAAAAGCAAACCAACAGACCCATTCTCTTCTGGACGTGGGTGTGGAGACATCTTCCCGTGATCGCATTACAGGGTTCCTCGAACCAGCATCCCTGGCAGATCTGTAGAAGAGACACAACACTGCCTCAGTTGCAAACTTCTATCTGACATCTTGGGCCGTTTGGAGTAACTAAGACCATGAGGTCAAAACGCAAGGGTTTGTAACTGTTCTATCAAATTCGTAAGATTAATTATAATTGTTCCGAGTCGTCATCAAGACGTTCAAAGAGTTGGTTAGTAAAAGCTTGACAAGTTGTGAATTTCAATTTCTTTTTACGAAAAATCTCTGAAAACTAGGTACTGGGCAGATAGAATTTGTAATTCCGGGGTATCAACCTGATGTACCAGAAGGTAACAGGTTCGATTCCCGGCCCTTGTATCTTGATGCAGGGTACTTTATGGGTTCGATTTTGCTTTAGTAAGCGTTTTTGACGCACTTGCAACACAATTAGGATTATATTATAAGTGCCGAAGATTAGAGAAATTACAGAAGAGCAACAAATACACACATGGGGGGAGGAGAGTTAGGAAGTTTGCAAAGAAAGGAGGGGAGATAAGGATGACAGGGGGTGGGGTGGCCGGTATTGAACATAAAAAAACATAATAAAAGGTTCATAATGGAAAAAAGGGGGAGGGGCATTGCACAAAAATGTTGAGTGAAAGGGA